CATCTTGATACAGTGTTTGAAAGGAGCGACTGCTGTATGAGTACTGATCCCAAGAATCATCCCTTGGAGTTCGTGGTTGTCTTTGAATGACAGAGGGTTCCTCATCTTTCAGGGCATAGTCCTGTGAAAGCTGGGCTGCTGGCTAGAAGCGAACCTGCTGCTATGACGGCCTGCAGTAGCCTGTGCGACGATCTGCTACTAGTAGTAGTCGCAAAAGGAACCGGAATATGAGCTTCTGAGAATACAAAACTGTCTGTTCATCAATTATTTTATGTGTATCATCTATGCATTGACTATGTGCTTGGGGGGATCGTAGCTCGACCACACTTGCATTCACACGAGTAGGGCCAACAGTGCTTGCCCAATGGCTGTTCCAAGTGTCAATGTTACGATCCATCGGCAAGAAACTGGCGCAGACGAAACTGGCGGCAACGTCACAACGTTGCACTCCAGTGGCACACCCGCACAGAAGACTGGCATCTCTACAGGGCATTCCTGTGGCAGCTGCGGAACAAGCTCACTGGGCCAAGCAAACGAATCCAACGGTGGGAATTCATCGGGACAAGTTGGTGGCACCGGATCATTCCATTCTCGTTCGTAGAACAACTTGTTCGGCTCATCCGACGTATCCACCGCAGCGTACTTTTCCGCCAAGTTGTACCACTCGGGGAACCGCTCGTACTCACAAGGTGTCGTAACATCATCACAGTTTTCTGGTTCGAAATGACCAACACCCCAGTTGTCGGGCCCAAATGTGTCAAAGGGATAGGGGCTCTCATCTTGAGCCATGGACTTTTCCGTGGAATACTCAAAGACAAAGCCACCGGCAAACTCTTCTCGATAAGTCTTGGAGTACAATGCCTCCACTTGAAGAAAGTTGCGTTGGGTTTCGTACCCTTCCACTTCCTCAAAGGACTCATTGAGGCAACCAAACTCTGTCCATAGGACTGGCACTGTCATTCCAAAGGATTCATAGTCCTCCAAGAGTTTGCTGTACCCCACCAGCTCATCAATACCAGTGGCTGCGCCATCGCAGTGGAGGTATGAGTTGATGCCAATGAAATCAGCATTCTCTAGCTCGTCATCAGGGTCGGAACGGCAGTTATAGTATAGAGCCTTGTTCTCTCGCTCCACATCTGCCTTGATGACTCCAATTGGTATTTTTCGCATCGAGTCGGAACAGCGTTGGACATAGGCTCTCATGTCCCTGATAAACTTCTTCTGACAGGGAGCATTTTCCGTCGAGTGACTAGTTCGGTGGAGAGACACTTCGTTTCCAGCACTAAATGCCAAGACATTCTCGTACTTGGCAAACTGCTGGATGATGAATTCTCCCCGCCTCTTCAACTCGGCTGGGTAACACAAAGGAGGAGCATCGGAAGTAATGGCACAGTTGAAGCATTCTGCAGCCAGGCCCACAATGACATAGATTCCTAAAAAAGAACGGACAGGCAGGGTTTGCAAAGTTCTTAGAGATGATGTCATTGATACAGACAACGAGGGTCGCTCCCACCTCACTCCTTACGTACCTGCTGCTTTGAGAGCGCACATAAAGCCATCATGGTTCTTGCCTGGATCAACTGCATAAATGCGGATAGCATTGACTCCCAGGTCCTTGAATTCCTCGATATCTCGTTCCCAGATGGATCGGTACTCTTCGGTGAAAAAGTCAATCGAGTTGGTCACTGTAAGGTCACCTTCATTGGGACGAGGATAGTAGCTAATACCCTTGATGGCAAGGTAGTCACCGGAATAGGAACTGAAGAACTTGCGACCATGAATCTCGGCGGGAGGGGCAAAGTCTGGGAGGAACAGACAGCGTTAGTTAGCATGAAAGAGCCACACAAACACCCGATCTTTGCTTCTTTTCCGTACCTTCACATGTTTGTCCACGAACGGACGATAGATGCAACAAGAAAAGGGCAGCTAAGGTAGAGAGCTTCATCGTTTCTTCGTTTTCAATCCGACAGCAAGTACTGTACTGTGGCCAAGATGGAGGAGTGGGAACATTTTTGGTGTGTGTTTCCCACCGGTACCTTCCTGAGGACCGTTGAAGAGCAAAAAATGTGGAAGGAGACACCAATGATCCAGTCGTGCATCTCGAATTGGCAATGTTACCCGTCACAAACCGTCCTGAAACAAGTCCGTTTCGGTTCTGTTGCGATCAGCAATGCCTCCAACAACTAGACTAGGGGAACTGTATGCGGATGGGAAAAGGTGGAGAAAGAGCCAATCGTAAGGGCACGGAACAAGCTCTGTCCCGCCAGCTCTCGATGAATTGACATTTGATGGAATGATTCTCTGGATTCAATCCTTCAATGAATGATTGTTGAAGATCCTGTTCGGATTGAAGTTGACACTGCAATTTGGCTCCTTTGATCAGAATATAACAACGTTGGCCAGCCGCATCAATGGATCCTTCCAATCCAAGCCTTCTGGTGCGGACAACAATCACTGGGTCAAGATGTGTCCGGTTTTCTTCCAGACAATCCGAGGTTGTCAGGGGGGGACTCCAGACCCCAACTCTGTCGAGCCCGGAGGGAATCTGTATGGGCACGTTCTTTCTCCAGCTAATCTCCAGCTACAGGTTGGTGGCAGAAAGCCGATATGCCTAAACCCCAAGAGCCGACAAGCAAGGACTTCCCCACCGGTGACGGTGATCTGATGGAAATAGGTGGAAGAAGTAGCAAACTATAGATGTGGTAAGAGCACGGATGAAGATCCTGAACATCCTTACACTTCAAAGTAGTGTCTCCTTTGTGATATCAACTTTATGAACTTCTTAAGATATTTCCAGCTAATCTTTTATTGAAACCCTGTCTGCCCACTCCTCTTTCTTTCATTGAGCAGCTGTTGCACGATGTGGACTCCCAGCACGTCCGTTAGCAATGGATGGGGGTGGACTGCAGTCTTGTTTCGTCTGGATGTCCATGGGCTTCTTCTGCTGAAACAATGCCGAACGAAGCGATTGCAACATGCCGTCAATCCCTTTGGACCTTGGGTTCGGTTGGTCTGGGACTGCCACTTGCTTGGGAGTAGCCGTGTCGATCTTCGTGTCGATCTTCGTCAGTTCGGAGAATGCCTTGAGATCGTCTAGCTCCCTTTCGATGCGGCTGGTCCTTCGAATACTCGGTCTCCTTCCGGAGGAACTCCTTCGTCTGCTGCTGCTTGTAGCAGTGAAGATTCCGCTGAAAGTGTATCGTCCCGACGGAGACACCAAGGGTGGTGACGACGCCATGGCAGTCTTGAACTCGTCAAAGGCGATGTGGCCGTCGTGGTTTGTGTCGATTTGATCCATGATCTTCTCAACGACAGCGCCAGATCCCTCTTTCATTGAAATTGCTTCTTCGAGATCGGCAGCGGTCAAAAAGTCTGCGCCTTTGCCAAAGTCCTTGAAGGCGGCCCGGAGCCTGGCTTCATCAAGTTCAATTGACGCCACTAAGAACTCCGAGTACTGAAGCCTTCCAGAGGCACTGTAGTTGACTCGATGAAAGATATCTTCCGCTTCATCGTCACTGATCTCTTTCCTCAGAATCTCTTTGAACCCGTACTTGAGGTCCTCTATGGAAAGCTCTCCTTTGCAATCTTTATCCATCATGCGAAACATCTCATCAATAATATCCTTTTCTTGCTTCGTAACGAGCTGACTTCCAATGAAGGCACATGTCACTTGTTTCAGCTTGCTGTCAGCATGGAAGTCCTGCAAGTTGCCGAGGTATTTGGCGGCCTGGTTGGCCTTCTTCCTTTTCTTGAGCTCCTTGGAGGAATTTTTTCTAGCTTGCTCTAACCACGGGTGCTTGAGAGCTTCTGCCGCCGTGGGGCGTTCGTAGGCATTATAGATGAGGAGCCACTGCACAAAGTCCAGTGCATCATCGGAGACGTTCTCAAAATCAGGGTGATCAAAGGAATACTCTCCAATATTGATGGCTTCCATGATTTCCTCAATCGAATCGCCATCAAATGGAGCTTCCCCGCACAAGAGCATGAAAGCAACTACCCCGGCAGACCAAACGTCACATTTTGGTCCGTACTTCCTGTTCAAGACTTCTGGTGCCTACGTATCGAAGCGAATGAATAAGCAGGCCAACCAGTGAGCATACCGTAGTTCTTCATCATGATTTGAACTCCCACCACATTTATTTGCCGTATCGGTACTTACCATGTAATACGAAGAGCCCACTTGGTCCCTGAAGGTGGCCTTGGAGTAGTCGTCAAACTTCCTTGCCAACCCAAAGTCAATGATTTTGATGTCATCCAGGTGCATCTCATCGTCGGCTAATAGGATGTTCTCGGGCTTGAGATCCCGGTGACAAATACCATTAGTGTGGCAGTAGTTGATACAGGACAAAACTTGGTTCATAATAGCAGCAGCATCTTCTTCTGCAAAACTCCCCCATTCTTCAATCTCATCGTAGAGTTCACCGCCCTGGTAGAGATCCGACACAATGTAGAAGGTATCAGTCCCTTCTTCTTCGTACAGCTGATAGATTTTGAGGAGATTCGGATGATCGATATCTCGCAGGATGTTGAACTCGCGCTGCACAGATCTGGCTTCTTTGTCGCTTTCCACTTGCAAAATCTTGACGGCTCGTTGGATGCCAGTCTCTCGATGCCGGCAAACGTAAACCTCTCCATAGGCTCCCTCCCCCAGGAGCTCTAATGTCTCGTAATGTTTATAGAACGAGTCACTGCTCTGGGTAACAAAGTTGTTGGCAGAGAACTTGATCGATCCGCGAGGGATACTTTGTTGGCTCTGATGAAGATTAGACTTGATGCCAGCAAAGCGCTTGTCACGGGAGCAGCCACCAACCATAGCCTCTTCGTAGCTGCCGTAGATTGGCAATTGCCTTTCTGTATTAATACTTGTTGTGGGATTCATCGTTGTGTGTTTTCTTGTGTTGATCTTTGACGCGAAGTGCGAAGTGCTGTCCGCTAAAATAGTGTCGCGTTCTAACTGGTAGCTACCGTAGCAAGCTAGTCGGGTGAGGAGCTGACAAGTTTCTTTGAGTTTATTTTATGAAGTCTCCGGTTTTATCCTTCCTGGTGGTCTGGTGGTTGATAGCGAGGTTCATCCATTTGTATTTGCCTTGAGTTCTGGGTGTTGTAAGCGAAGTTATTCCGTAAATCCATCTATCTGTGTTTGCATGTTCAACCGGGTCGAGTCAAGTCAAGGTGGGAATTTGGCTTGGTCAATCGGAGACTATTATTTTGTGAGACTGTGTGACTCATTGGTAAGGAGAACAGGGTATATCAGATTCTGTTTATAGATCTTTTGAAAATTCAGGGCCATCTCAAAATTGTCCTTTAGATGGCTTAAAGAAGCCATTGCTCCCAGTAGACCGTCCTTGCAATAATTTATCTTTTCTGTTCTCAACGACTCCAAACAAGGCGGCGCAGAAGCCAGGTTCAACCGAGGTGGGCTTTCATCCCGTGTTGGTTGGAGTTATTGATGGCCGGTGCAGTGCTAGTAGCGAAGTTCATGGAAGCCTAGCCGAGAAGAGCTTGTTGTCATTCGGGAGGCCGATGGGCCTATTAATAGCAACTTTGTGCTGAACATCGTGACCTGAAGCACCACGCTGTGCTAGCGAAGAGGTACGCACCATCTGCAGCATCCAGTTCAGGCATAGCCTGTGTCTGCCCCACATACTAGACTGTACCAATCTGAAGCATCCACATCGATAGGCAGCACACATACAGGAACCGACGGATGGCTAGATACAATATCAAAGCTTTGGTGGATGGATCTGCCAATGCATTCTAAGACAAGACGCTTGGGAGGATTCTTGATGGTGGATACGTCACGGATAATCGTTAAGGCGACAGGCAGTGGACAGACAGGCCGTCGGAAGCTCTATTGTGTGTGAGAGTACCGACAGTGGCTGATCTAATGGTTGTTTTCATGCATCTACATGCGCATGAACTGCAGACCGCAAAGTCTCCAGGATCAAGGAAAAACAGCTTTCCAGCCAACAGCGATTCTAGCTAGTACAGTGGGAGCCAAAGATTATCCAAGCAGCTGCTCCATTAGCCAATGACGCTGACCGCCAAAGAATGCAAGAGACAACGCGCAAAAACCGAAGACAACTGCCATCTGTTCCAGCTACGAGAGCTCTAGCTAGTAGACAGTGGGAGAGTGGGAGCCAAAGCAGATTAGTTGAGGACAGTCTACACCGTTTTTCTGTTCTCGACAGCTGAAAAAGGAGGATAATCTATGTGAGGACAGTCTAATTTCGTACCGGTATCGATTTGATACTGGTGCCGGATGGCAGCTGAGATGGTGCAACTTTACAGTACTAAATATGCCATAGTACGTACTCCAGAAGGGAGGGCTCATGGCGTTTCCTGTACTCGGAGCGTCGGAGAGCCTTTTAAAAGCACACATACACGTAGACTACATAACTACATGTACCACTTCGTACCGCTATGCCCAGCATCTAGATCTAGGAAAACTGCATGCTCAATGGTTCTGCATTGTGCATTGGGCGCATGGGCTTATCAACTTTGCCAGTATGAAACACGTAGAAGGTAGGAGGCTAGCTAGGAGCAACCTGGAACCTTGGCAGTTGTACGCGTTCATCCACACTAATGTACCGTAGCTATCTACAGCACCCGACATCGCCCTAAAAGCTAAAAGTTAGGCAGTGGGAGCCAACTGGGGGCTTGGTGCTAACGTGCCAAAGCGGTGCGTTCAAGCTTTGGACACTGTGCTAACTGCAGTCAGCGGACCACTAGATCTGAAGTCGAAAACGCCAATACCGGTGAAGCAATATCTTCCTTGGTTCTACTACCATCAGCCATGCTGCACTCCCAAAAGGGCAGGACTCCTCTTTCCTCCATCTGCTATTGTACCGAACAATTCATGCATTTTTGCAAGTTGTGGGTATTGTGAACTGATGGCACCGGAGGCACCTGGCTGGCGGTCCAAAGATCACTGGACAACAATCCCTGTGAAGCAATCTTCCAGGATTCTACTACCATCAGCCACGCTGCATTTCCATAAGGCTAGTGCACCCTTGGTGCTTTCGTCGTTACTGCGCAGGTACGGAACCAGTTCAGGTTTGCAACTTTTGAGCCTTCAGCACATGAAATGGGATAGCTGGCTAGCCAGCAAGATCTAGCTGATGGAAGCTATGCCAATACCGGTGAAGTCACCTTCAGCCATCCGATGTGCTAGCAGAAGGCTACGGTTCATTCTTGATTTCAGGCTGTTGCCTTGGGTCCTCGCACCGGTAGCACCAGAGCTTGCGTCCCAGCACAAGCCAGCTAATGCACCGTCACAAGGGAGTGACGATTCGACTGCGTCAAGGCCGAAACGGCCGACTGAGTCATTGCAGATCCATCGGACTGCACTGTTGAAACATGCGATGGTCGTGAGAAATGAGCTGTCGAAAGCGCCGACTTGTCCTCGGCGGATGTTGCAAGTCCCGAAACCCTGACCCTGCCTGATGCACCTCGACTTTCGCGGCGGGCATCCGGCGGGAAATGTACTGCCACCATCTTGGGCACAAAGATCAACAGGATTGTAGTCATGGGAAAGGTCCATAGAATCAAAGAAGAGCCTAGGAATCGTCCATCGGCGGAAACATCCCCCAGGATGAACAACATCGGCACCGATACTACAATGACCTGCAAAGCACATCGATCATCGGGCCGCTTGTTTCAATGAGACAAACACAGACAAGATTGGATCGGGTAGGGCGTGAACAGTGTCCTTACCTGGCACTGGACAAGCATGAGAGCAAAGATCCACTTTGCTTCAGAGTACGCTGCATCCACATCAATTGTCTTGAATGCCATCAATCCTGTAAGAAAGGTCGGTATCATGACTAGGATAGATATTGGTATCCAGAAGGCATACTCCTTTTCCCCGGAACACTCTCCCATTGACTCCCCAGTGGTTTCATCAACTTCGTATCTGTCCCAATGAAAATCTGTAGTTGCCGTCCACACTGATAGCAGAATGATGGCTGCTAACTCGATCAACCAGGATGGCCACAGCACGTGCATCAAGTTGACTTTTCTTCGCGAAAACTGGAGAACACGATTGACCCTCCAAAGCTACAAAGCCAGGGTGAGACAGTCGCTTCTAACGGTCTCGCGAACAACCCAACAGAAACACAGAAACGGCCATACCTTTGTGAACAAGCAATTGTAGGTCCAAATGTGTCCCAGCACCACCAACCACGGAACAGCTTTGCAAGTTGCTGTGAGCTGTTTAGCATCCCACCCATGAGATTCATCAAAGGAAAGGAACAGAATCGCCAAAGCGGTCAACGATGATCCCAAGCAAATGAAATAGAGGAAGACCGGCTGTGATGCAACAACAATAGAATGATGCCGGTACACGACCACCCATATGAATGAAGCAAGAATGGAAAGCAATGCTGTGCCCATTAGAGTCAGGCCTGCAATTCTCACTCCTTTGCTCAAATAGTTTTGGTCTGCCTCGTCACGAAGCGGCTCTGGTGGAGTCATCGAGCCGCCAGCATAGACGAATGGATTAATCTCATACCATTCCATGTCCGAAGCGTTCCGCACTTCTGAAACCGTATAAAGATCACTGCGAGCATGGAGGCAATGACATAGAGGATGAGAAAGAACTTAGCAAAGAGAAGCCGCAGCGATGCTTCGGCAATTTCCCATCGCAGACACACCTGAAAAATCCTGAAGGAAACAGGTTCACAACTTCGTACGACACAGTGGATCCCATTCGGCTTCCAGGGTAACCGTCCCCGAATTGCACAGTGCCACTGGCCCCACTGAAGTTTACCGATCTAATTCCTTGCTGTAGTAGTTCCCCAGCCGACACGTCTTCGGTGTCTGCTACAGTTCTGGCATCCTCTTGCACCCTTTTGGTGTTACCAAATGCCCTGCAAGCACCCATGCCGGTTGCCATAATAGCGTCATAGAGGTTGAGGGCCCCCGAAGGCGGTGTTGATAAGAATGGAACTGGCTTGGAGAACAAGTCTTTCGGTGGAAACTGCCCAGCGGGAAAGTCCTTGCTCGCCACCCAGCCCAGCATGGGACTTAAGAACTTGTATTGTTTCCACTCTTTGTGGTACGCTTGGGTTTCCACCGGATTCAATTGCAACATTCGTTCGACGAAGGAATCGTTCAATTGGGTCCACTCCGCCATGAAGGGAGAATGATTTGGATCCCTTACATCCAGGAGCTCGGCTTGCTTCAGAAAGGCTGCATTCCTCATGAATCGAACATCGTCAAAGGCATTGAACTCTGTATCTAATATATGAAGATCACCAAGGTCTTCCACACGTAGATCTTCGATATCCATGTTTTCCATATCCAAGCCGTTTTCTCGTGTTACTGCTGATCCCCACCCTTCCTCGGATCCCCAGTCCGTCTCATTGTCTGATGGAGATTCCAATGGCTTGTCAATGTTGATGGCAGTTCCAATGACCCAAAAATGATCTCCCTGATCCAGCCTGTATTTGCGCGCCGCTCGACCTACTGGTTGCATGTCTTCGTCAAAGAAGGGCGTCAGCCAAACAATCGTACGGTAACCAGAGGCTTTCAGATTCTTCATGGCGGTGGTAATGTTCTGCGATGGATGATGCGAGTCCACCGGGGTTAACGTGGAGACATAGCCAAAGGACTGGACATGTTTCATGTGGAGGGACTGGGCCACTCCCCGAAAGACTTCCAATCGTTGAATGGCACTGTCAGCACTAGCTGCATACAAAACAGCAATGTAGTCTGTCCTTCCGGTATGTTGTAGATAATCTCCCAGAAATAACATGTCCGCATACAGGTCAGGGTTCACCTGACTCACAAATGGGTGCTTGTTCGGTAACAGCAAGTTGTGATCCAGACCACGGTGCGTCACCATGGGTATTTGCATGGCGGACGCCAACACACTTAGCTCCGTAGCAGGAATCTCATTATAGGGACCCACAATGGCACTGGGCAGATGTGTCCGATTTTCCATGGCGTTCATTAGCGTACTCATGGCGTTGCTCTGAATAGTCCCAGTGTCCATCACAAGTAGGCTGTCGTAGTCGATCTGAATTGGGCATTCTTGAAAGTCCGCCAGTTCGGGTATGATGGACGTCTTTCGCTCGTTAAAGTGGTCCATGGCCATGAGAGCAGACGCTAATTGGAAGAATCCTGGGTTCAAATAGGCTTCACCTTTGTACGTCAAAGGGAGTGCCAACAGCAGGGATAGGCGCGTTCCATTCTTGATACCCGGGTTGGCTAACAAGTTGGATGCTAACGACGGGCAACCACCACTGGCATTATCTTCGAGTATTGCGGCATCTCCAGGTTCTGCTGGAGAGTTTGTCGTTTGTACCTCGTCTTCTACGGGTATGATGACAAAGGTGGAACCACCGGAGGTGCTCTGTCCACTGGCCAGGGAAGCTGCCACAGCCACGAGAAGGAGTAACTGGATAATGGTCAGGCTACCCATGCTACCCAACGAATGTGCGTGACTACTGTTTCAGCACTGCGGCTATACTAGTATTGGTTGGGTATTGGGAGGTCTAAAAGTCCGTAGAACGGGATTGCGTCGGTGACCGTCATGGTCGTCGTTTGCTTCGGCAAACGTTTTATCACGATTCAGAGCAGACGATCGAACGCACATCCGCTCGTTCCGGGAAGTTCCTGCGTTATACGGACCACCCAAAAAAAGACTGTGTCCTCTCGTTCCAACTCAGTATTTGCTAACTCCACCGGCTATTAATAGTTTCGAGCGACTACTTGATCAAGCATAACCGTACCGGAACAATCGTGGATCAATATTTCGCGCGAATACATTCTCACTTTTGTTGTACTCTCCGCTGGCATACTATGATACTTAAATACTAGTAGTACCACAAGACTCGATGCAATCCAATCCTGCACACTCATAGAGCAGTCACACCTTGTGGAGATGAGGATGGCAACACACACACGAGAACTGGCAAGACCATCTCAAGGCAGCATGCATCATGGCTCTGGCTAGATTGATTCGTTATCCGGTTGTAAAGTAACAGTCTACTGGTATGTGTTATGTAAGGATTCTATGGGTAGCTATGCACGTAGTTGCAGTGGAGTGCTGCAGGCGTCGTCCATCTAGGTCGTTGCCACCAAACTCGTTCGTTTGTTAGCAAGTCGCTTTGCCAACCTGGAGACTGCAATGGAAACACCTTTGGCGGAAGTTTCTGGTTTCAAGTATGGAACTTGTTGATAGGCCGTCTGGGCACTTGGTGGGAGATGGAAGAAGATGATGGGAGGTGAAGTAGATAACCCCGCTGTTTGAAACCGATCACTCCACTGCTTACAGGCATCCGTCCCATATCGGGGCTTGGCACACGCAGGGATTTCATGGACCCGGAGCGCCTCTAGAAGACTGAACACCTTGGTATTGGCACTGGTTTGGTCCATGTGATGGTACCCCTCCAGTGTAACGTCAGATGAATCGGAATCGGAAGTGATCACAATGACAGCATCTGGCTGTGACGTCGTTCTCTGAATGTTCTTCTTGATGGACGCCATGGCTAGAACGTATTCACTATCTCGGCTGTCGTCGTCCAGTTGACTCTCTGTCAGAATCACGGCTGTATCAACTTGTACATTCTTGTGGTTGCTGGTACTGAACTCTTTGCTGACTTGTTCCGTTACCACTCTGATGGGGTGCACCTGCGCCATCCTGCGGCGTGGTTCCAACCCAAAGATCAGTATGCGAGGAACGGGAATGTCACAGTCGTCGTCTTCCTCGTCTTCTTCATAGGTGTCAAGGGTTGGTTGGTGAGAGAGTGTAGCTTTCGATGGTCGGTGTGCCACGGTAATGGTGTCCTCGTCATCGTCGTCATCAACCAGGGAGGCTTCTTCGGAAACATCATCATCATCGTCATCATCGTAGTCATTATCATCCACGGAGAAATACCCAGAGTCAAAGGTGATCTCGGAGCATGCTGTGGTGGTGGTGGATCGTCGCACAATAATGACGGGATGATTTTTGCGATCGTAGCGAACCTTGTTGTCCAGGATACCATCGAGCAAAGTTGCCCGTCGAGGGGCAAGGTTTCCCTCTTGGATATCAAACTTATCATTGAGCTCACTCTGCAATTGTTTCAGCGAAGCATCGGTGATGTTGCGCTGGGAGCTGTGACGACGGGCCAGCTTGGGTGGTCCTCGTCGTGTCCGATGAACATTTCGAGGAAAGCGTGGACTTTGGCGTGTTGGAATTGATTCCCATCGGGATGTTTTAGAGGCTAGCTGCATCCTGGCTGGTATAAGTTATTGGCTTGTTTTTAGTCTTCGTTTGGAAGGAAGTTGAAAAATGTGCCAACCGGTGAGGTTGCAAAAAAAAACGTTGTTGGCTGTGTGCCGAATGTGCCAAAGTTGCGAGACGGAACGAAAGTGGTGTGCCAAAAACGAGACAAAAGTGGGATCCAGAATCGAGAGTGGCTTGACTCGACTCAGTGAAGTTGAGGCAAAAAGCAAGAGTATTCGGCACTCATAGATTTAGAGTTTCATTCAGAGAATCTACTAGAAAGTACTGCTCGAGCAAGACCACGAGAAAAGCTATTCATTCATTCATGAAGCTATCACAAATCACAAGGTTTGCTCAGCCGCAACAATCTAACGGGATAAAAGCAACAATACTTCCTCATGTGCGGTAGAACTTCAATGACTACCTTAGTTAGCTTGGCTCGGTAGATGTAATAACATCTTGTCTGGTTGTCCAACAAGGTAAAACTAGCTATTTCGATGGGTACTGTAAAGGTCTTGCTAATGAGTGTTTGCTGGCGAGGACTGTACAAGACCTATCGATATCCTCTTCTCAGCAATTAGGATGGTCCTCAGGTATACATTGCTTGTAATCCCCCAGGAAGAGACCTTGTTGTCACTCTTGCACACAAGTCTACAACTATTTAACTTCTCCTTTATGCTCTAGAGTGTGGAAGTGAAGCACTATCCATGGTCATATTGGTATCTGGCTGCTTGCTTTTGAATAGAAGCAAGAAGAAATTGCTCTTGGGCCGGCCACCGGCCACAAGATGGATGAAAGCCAAGTTACTAGTTTCAACGGTCCCACCCGCAACCTGGGGTTGAGTTGCCGTTTGCTCTAACTCCACAGCCTGGTGGGAAGCAAATCACCAGCCAGAATGTTTCTCCTGGCTGGTCGGGCAGCTTCGGGCGCTGGCTCCCTTCCAGCGATTGTTGGGAGCCACGCCGTACGAGGATCAGTCACACTCAACAGGCAGGCTTCAGACATGGGGTTGGGTTGCCAATGCAAAAAGAAGGCAGCAAGGTATCATTGTACTAGCTAGCCTTTCCTGAGTAGAACTGCTTGAAACGAGGCATCCCTTGAAGTTAGTAGTGCAGGTCCCAAGGAGAGAAAGACGGGCAGCCAGGTATGGGGGTTGGGTTGCCAAACGCTCCTTCCAGCGATTCGATTCTTCAGAGCCAAGCCCTGTTGACCGGTCACACTCAACATGCAGCTTTCAGACCTGGGGTTGGGTTGCCAACGCCAAAAGAAGGCAACAAGGTAGCATCGTCTAGCTTGCCTGCCTTTCCCGAGTAGAACTTCTCGAAACGTGGCAGGCCATCTTGAAGAAAGCAAAGGAAGTTAGTTCTTGCTGTCCCCGAAGAGAAAGTCGGGCAGCCAGGTATGGTAGGGGTTGGGTTGCCAAAAGAAGCAGGATATTGAAGGAGCCTTGTCTGAAGTCAAGAAAACATAGGATGTTGAAGGTAGAGAAAGCAGAAGGGCAGCCAGCCAGGTAAGGGGGTTGGGTTGCGAAGCAACTACGACAGACTCACTCGAACCAATATCACAGTAACCTAGCTAGCCTGAGTAGAACTGTTTGAAACTTGAAACGAGCCCTTGAAGAAAGCATAATATGATGTTCAAGGTAGAGAAAGAAGGACAGGACAAGAGTAGAGCTGCCTGAAACGAGCCCTTGAAGAAGCAAAGAAAGCCGTCCCGAAGGAGGAGGAAGAACAAAGGAATAAGGGCACCCAGCCAGATCCACGAGTATCTACTCCAAGTCAACCGAGAAGATTGTGAATGTGCCATCAGCCAGCAGCGGATCCTGTCCTTTTAAAGGCATGAATCATCTTCATGATCAAACCCTTCGGTTTGCTCTGCGACGGTATTCTTTTCTGCAATGGATAGTGGTAGCTTAGCTTACAGTAGTTTATTTTATTAGTAGCGCGGTTTTGCAGGTTGTGCAGCAGCTTTTCCAGCCACCGCCAAGCATGGTAGGGGTGGCTGTGTTAGTCAGCTGTACGGCAAGGTTGTCTTAAGTGCGCTGGGTGCCGAGAACCGGTTCGGGATCCATAGAGATAGAAATCGTAGATCAGCTGCTGTTTTGACATACGAGTAGCACAGAACAGCTGAAAGAGAATTCTGCTTGGTATCTACCGGTACTTTGGCGAGGCAACCAATGGACGTGAGTAGTCTACAAAGGCATTGAAAACACACACGGTTGCTTGTGGTGGGGGAAACCTCATGGGCTATGGTCGACGACGACGACGACTCAACTCGACTCGGCTATTGGAAGATGTAGCCATGATACCAATGCATGCAGTGCCTTGGCACGATACCACGAATGCATACTGGTACTTTGGCACAGTCCGGCAGCTATGGACGACGGTGCTTCGTGGCTAATTGCTTGTGTATAAAGTACTGCTTCTTCCTCTAAACTTAGTTTTATAATAGAGATAAGCTATGCATGTAGTTTGTAGCCCCCTTGCTTGCTTCCTTCACCTAAACAATAAATGCTGTTGTTTTTGGTATTATGATGATGAAGATGATCATGCCATCCGAGCAGGCGACACGCATCGTTGTGGGGAATAGCAACGCAGGGGCCTTCGATTGGCGTCCGAGCTGTGTGTTCGTTGGGGTACCTTGGGACTTGTACTAGTACTAGTAGTTGTACTGATGGTGGTTGGAATTGTTGGTCGTGCATCCATGATCAAATCTTCGGGCGACAGTTCGGTAAAGGAATCTTGGCGAGATGGTGGGAGGATCGGACACGTAGACGATCTTCGCGAGTGACCCGAGTCGGTACCGGTATCCCAACGGGACGATGACGTGTGAGAGGAACTTCGTTGCAATTGTGGCTGTCCCATCCTAATTGCTGCTGAGTTGTTCTCCATCCGAGCTGCCGTTGATTCTGGGGCAGGTTTTCCACTGTCCCATCGATTTTCCTTGACGACAATGGGCTCATCATGTTCATATTCTTCTTCTTCTGTGACGATAATGATAATCTCTTCTTCTTCTTCTTCTGGTTCGGCTTCCTTGACGGGGGTACTCCTGTGACGGCGAGGTCTGGTCTTGCTTTGACGGGGTCTTCGGATAAAGGATTGTGGAGGCCCACCGTTGGTGCTATCAAACGACCTGGAATGACGGAGCATGGCTCTCTTGCGTTTGGCCAAGACTTGTTGATGCTGCTCTTTGCACGCCTCCAACAAGACGGGGATCTTGTTGGGACTGTTGTTGGTGTTGCCGTTACCACTACCAGAGAGGGTAGAATGCGACATGCCCAGGGTAGAACAAGAATCCATCATGCTAATGGAAGAACAGGATTCCATCATGTTATTATTATTGTTGTTCTGGAGGACTCTGTTCCGCCAAACATCAAAACAATGGCGGGGGGTAGATGTGTCATGGTAGACTAATAATTGCTTTCCAACAAGAAAAATAGTAGTATAAGTTGCTCAGACGAGATAACTCAAAAAGATGCAGAGGGCGAGAATTGTGAGATGAGCCGAAATCAAACAAAACCTTTGGCCTTTTATTCCACAAAGAATGTGCAGTCCGATTGATTGATTGTCCGATTGAGACCATGATCCAACAAGAACAGAATTGGACGGTCAACACTCGGTCAACACTCGGTCAATAGTCAATCTCCGACGATCTCCGTGCGTCTTTGAGTCCGGTGTCATTGTGACTTGAATACCGTTGCATGAATCTGAGCATAATGAACACAGCTACTTAGTACCATGTCAGCTGTTCTGACCATTTGACGGTCCCCTAACTCGTAGTTTTGAAAAAGAACAAAAAAGGCCTCCGGCAGACATGTAAGTTCCCTCTTGTGCAGCAGATTTATTTATTCTTCGGCGCGATTGACCCAGCAAAAACTGGCACAATCTCCCAGCGACTCTTAAATATGTTCTTGACCTTCATACGATGACTTAACAAACCGGGATTTTTCCATGACCTAGTACAGCTCATAAACCAATTGCTTCCGTTTGGGGTATACGTACATTAGTAGTCAATCTTGGGGACACTCAGTGCCTCTGAAACAAGGTTCATTAAGTCTTTAAGGCAATGTAAAACTGTCTCCGCCACCTCCAATGGTGTCTTGCCTGACTGGGATTGGTGGCTTTTTGAAAAGATTGATTGGTCGCGTTCATTTCTCTCTTTTTTTCTCTTCTCAGCAATTAGGATGGTCCTCAGGTATATTGCTTGTAATCCCCCAGGAAGAGACCTTGTTGTCACTCTTGCACACAAGTCTACAACTATTTAACTTCTCCTTTATGCTCTAGAGTGTGGAAGTGAAGCACTATCCATGGTCATATTGGTATCTGGCTGCTTGCTTTTGAATAGAAGCAAGAAGAATTGCTCTTGGGCCGGCCACCGGCCACAAGATGGATGAAAGCCAAGTTACTAGTTTCAACGGTCCCACCCGCAACCTGGGGTTGAGTTGCCGTTTGCTCTAACTCCACAGCCTGGTGGGAAGCAAATCACCAGCCAGAATGTTTCTCCTGGCTGGTCGGGCAGCTTCGGGCGCTGGCTCCCTTCCAGCGATTGTTGGGAGCCACGCCGTACGAGTGAAGAAAGCAAAGGAAGTTAGTTCTTGCTGTCCCCGAAGAGAAAGTCGGGCAGCCAGGTATGGTAGGGGTTGGGTTGCCAAAAGAAGCAGGATATTGAAGGAGCCTTGTCTGAAGTCAAGAAAACATAGGATGTTGAAGGTAGAGAAAGCAGAAGGGCAGCCAGCCAGGTAAGGGGGTTGGGTTGCGAAGCAACTACAACAGACTCACTCGAACCAATATCACAGTAACCTAGCTAGCCTGAGTAGAACTGTTTGAAACTTGAAACGAGCCCTTGAAGAAAGCATAATATGATGTTCAAGGTAGAGAAAGAAGGACAGGACAAGAGTAGAGCTGCCTGAAACGAGCCCTTGAAGAAGCAAAGAAAGCCGTCCCGAAGGAGGAGGAAGAACAAAGGAATAAGGGCACCCAGCCAGATCCACGAGTATCTACTCCAAGTCAACCGAGAAGATAGTGAATGTGCCATCATCCAGCAGCGGATCCTGTCCTTTTAAATGGCATGAATCATCTTCATGATCAAACCCTTCGGTTTGCTCTGCGACGGTATTCTTTTCTGCAATGGATAGTGGTAGCTTAGCTTACAGTAGTTTATTTTATTATTAGTAGCGCGGTTTTGCAGGTTGTGCAGCAGCTTTTCCAGCCACCGCCAAGCATGGTAGGGGTGGCTGTGTTAGTCAGCTGTACGGCAAGGTTGTCTTAAGTGCGCTGGGTGCCGAGAACCGGTTCGGGATCCATAGAGATAGAAATCGTAGATCAGCTGCTGTTTTGACATACGAGTAGCACAGAACAGCTGAAAGAGAATTCTGCTTGGTATCTACCGGTACTTTGGCGAGGCAACCAATGGACGTGAGTAGTCTACAAAGGCATTGAAAACACACACGGTTGCTTGTGGTGGGGGAAACCTCATGGGCTATGGTCGACGACGACGACGACTCAACTCGACTCGGCTATTGGAAGATGTAGCCATGATACCAATGCATGCAGTGCCTTGGCACGATACCACGAATGCATACTGGTACTTTGGCACAGTCCGGCAGCTATGGACGACGGTGCTTCGTGGCTAATTGCTTGTGTATAAAGTACTGCTTCTTCCTCTAAACTTAGTTTTATAATAGAGATAAGCTATGCATGTAGTTTGTAGCCCCCTTGCTTGCTTCCTTCACCTAAACAATAAATGCTGTTGTTTTTGGTATTATGATGATGAAGATGATCATGCCATCCGAGCAGGCGACACGCATCGTTGTGGGGAATAGCAACGCAGGGGCCTTCGATTGGCGTCCGAGCTGTGTGTTCGTTGGGGTACCTTGGGACTTGTACTAGTACTAGTAGTTGTACTGATGGTGGTTGGAATTGTTGGTCGTGCATCCATGATCAAATCTTCGGGCGACAGTTCGGTAAAGGAATCTTGGCGAGATGGTGGGAGGATCGGACACGTAGACGATCTTCGCGAGTGACCCGAGTCGGTACCGGTATCCCAACGGGACGATGACGTGTGAGAGGAACTTCGTTGCAATTGTGGCTGTCCCATCCTAATTGCTGCTGAGTTGTTCTCCATCCGAGCTGCCGTTGATTCTGGGGCAGGTTTTCCACTGTCCCATCGATTTTCCTTGACGACAATGGGCTCATCATGTTCATATTCTTCTTCTTCTGTGACGATAATGATAATCTCTTCTTCTTCTTCTTCTGGTTCGGCTTCCTTGACGGGGGTACTCCTGTGACGGCGAGGTCTGGTCTTGCTTTGACGGGGTCTTCGGATAAAGGATTGTGGAGGCCCACCGTTGGTGCTATCAAACGACCTGGAATGACGGAGCATGGCTCTCTTGCGTTTGGCCAAGACTTGTTGATGCTGCTCTTTGCACGCCTCCAACAAGACGGGGATCTTGTTGGGACTGTTGTTGGTGTTGCCGTTACCACTACCAGAGAGGGTAGAATGCGACATGCCCAGGGTAGAACAAGAATCCATCATGCTAATGGAAGAACAGGATTCCATCATGTTATTATTATTGTTGTTCTTGGAGGACTCTGTTCCGCCAAACATCAAAACAATGGCGGGGGGTAGATGTGTCATGGTAGACTAATAATTGCTTTCCAACAAGAAAAATAGTAGTATAAGTTGCTCAGACGAGATAACTCAAAAAGATGCAGAGGGCGAGAATTGTGAGATGAGCCGAAATCAAACAAAACCTTTGGCCTTTTATTCCACAAAGAATGTGCAGTCCGATTGATTGATTGTCCGATTGAGACCATGATCCAACAAGAACAGAATTGGACGGTCAACACTCGGTCAACACTCGGTCAATAGTCAATCTCCGACGATCTCCGTGCGTCTTTGAGTCCGGTGTCATTGTGACTTGAATACCGTTGCATGAATCTGAGCATAATGAACACAGCTACTTAGTACCATGTCAGCTGTTCTGACCATTTGACGGTCCCCTAACTCGTAGTTTTGAAAAAGAACAAAAAAGGCCTCCGGCAGACATGTAAGTTCCCTCTTGTGCAGCAGATTTATTTATTCTTCGGCGCGATTGACCCAGCAAAAACTGGCACAATCTCCCAGCGACTCTTAAATATGTTCTTGACCTTCATACGATGACTTAACAAACCGGGATTTTTCCATGACCTAGTACAGCTCATAAACCAATTGCTTCCGTTTGGGGTATACGTACATTAGTAGTCAATCTTGGGGACACTCAGTGCCTCTGAAACAAGGTTCATTAAGTCTTTAAGGCAATGTAAAACTGTCTCCGCCACCTCCAATGGTGTCTTGCCTGACTGGGATTGGTGGCTTTTTGAAAAGATTGATTGGTCGCGTCTGTACTGTTTATGTTCGACTGTACCGCGTGTGTCGCCATTCGGTCACATTGCACTCTTGGATCGACTGACTCGACTCATGCCTGCATTGACATGGTGGCCTTATTGGCAATTGTGAACTGTGAACTTCCTTGCAGATGTAAACTCGTACCAGATACTGGTACATTACACTCTATTGTCATGAAATAATGGCCAAGAGCAATTTCAAAGGTACTAGTACTACATGTAGTAGTAGGCTGATCTCTGATTAGTCCAGAGCTGCTCCGATTGTGCTCTGCTGCGTGAGTGACGAGTCGAGTCTGTGTCGTCACATGGTGACCATCATGAACTTCTGACTTCAGTGTTCAGTGCACTGTAAAAATAGCCAGGAACGACGGGAGCCAGAACCAACCTTATTCATGACAGCTACTTGCTAGCTACTATTAGAGAGCTATGAACAAAGCTAACGCCGTAGCCGGCAACAGTTGACAAGGCTCGGAGCACAGGAAGGGAACGAACAATAGCCAAACAAGCCCAGCAACCTCAGTGGCTGCTAGCTAAAGCCAACGGAACAAGGCAACGAACACTCTCTCGATGGCCACACACACGTAGCGGAACCGACACCTGTTTGATGTAGTACCGTAAAAGTACAGTACGAGTATGTGATTGCCGTTTTGGGCCTGCAGCTAAGGCTTTGCGTTCTAATAATGTACCAGTACCAGCAGATGATGGTAAAACGACAGTACTACTACAGTACGAGACCTCTTTCACCAGGTACATTGTACATTGGATTCTCTGATTGCCACATGTAGCACAAAACTTCCTCGTAGTTGGCTTTAAAACCTACATCCAGGAAAGGAGTACCGGTACGGGTGTAGTCTAATGGTCAAAGAGAAGAGAGAAGGGAAGTGCAATGGCCAAGCACACAAGTCCATTATTTGGCTGGGACGGAAGGGTAGCAAGTGACAAGGAAGCCTATCGAATGATATTGGAGCACAACAAGTCTATCATGGCTGGCTATTACTCTAGTAGTGGTTAGTGGTTGCACACAGCCACTTCTTATTACTTCCACCCCATATCGTCCTCATTCCACTTCTTTAGACCATGTGGGGTATCCTACTCCAGCTCCAGAGTAGCTGACCACTGGCTCTTCTACCGCTATAGTGCATTCGAAGTCGAGTGACAGTCGAGTCGGATTGTTTTCCAAGCCATTTTCGATTAGTTACTGGTCAAAGAAATGGGGGTCCAGAATCCTTTTCTCAAATCTTGGTCTCCTGATGTATGTGCTGTATTCTGCCAGCTATCCCAACAGTTTCCATTGCAGCTGGCATCTCACTGGGAACGACCAGATCAATTCATGGTGATCTTGGAATTGATGATGGTGCCAAGCTTGGATCTGATGATCAGCCCCCGCCCAGATCCCACTTGCAACAAATGTTACGAGGTCATGGCCTGGAAAAACTATAGGGGGTAAAAGTTGGGTCTGAAGGTGCACCCACTGGCTGGGCTGTTTGATGGATGACCTGATAGAGTTGATGAATAGCATTTGCAATTTGTTTCTGGGCAGTAGAATCACCCTCACGCTCAACAGCTACACCTGGTATACTCTGGTATTGAGGCCTCAGTTTAGGAGCAAACACTTTGACGGACAGTTCAGGGAGGTCACTGTTTTCAGATTGTTTTCATAGCTATCATTGTCTCAAAAGCTCCACTAGTAGGGGATGTTTCTGGTCAATGACTTGCCGTGTAGTCGAAGCTCAGCCAATTCAGCGAGCGCTGCAATTCCCGATCGAATTGGACCATCAAGACCAGCAGTGTTTGTGTGACGACTATGGCTTGGGAGAAGATTGCTTCAGTGTTAGAGCTGTGGTTGAAGCTATTGTTGCTTCCTTGTGAGGAACGAGCACTTGTGTGCGAGCTCCAGAGACCGCTGCCAAACACAAATCCATGCGACATGCACTGCCACAATGACAAGCAGGGTCCGCAGCTAGAAGCGAGATGGATACTCTGACTCTGGGTTACAAGGAGCGATGGTCTTCGGCGAACAGATGTACTGTACACAGAAAGAGCTGCAAGGAAGGCGAAGCCCCTGCAGCAAAATGTTGTTCGGTCGAGATACCAAGAAGCCAGGAATAGCAAACAAAACGGCCCGACCAAACTACACCTTAAGGATCAGCAATAATGGGGATCGAGGGAAGGCAGTGATCATGTGACCAACTGGCTAGGAGACTGGACGTGCAATGTAAGTGGAGGTGACTTATAGAAAACGACAAGAAGTATTGAACATGAACCAGCCTCAGTAGATCTTTGTTCCAAAAACGGAGCCCGAGAGTAGAAGTTTTGTTTCAGCCTGTCAACGTGTACATGCATCGGCAACAAGTTTCCTGCTTCGAATCTTATACTCTTTGCTGAAATCGTATGAATCTTGCCTGTCCGAGTTACCGTTCAACCCTGCCGGGCAAAGAGGCCCGTTGTCGCTTTCGTTTCCTGCTCGATCGAGGCGGTGCGGGGGGATCACAGAGAGTGGGATTGGCACAAAGGAAGTAGAACAGACAGTCAAGGTCTTTGCTGCACTTGCCAAGATGTTCCACCCAGTCTCGTTTCCCCAAGACCTCCGTTTTGTTGTCAGCGTGCCTGGCTCTCACGAATCTGCCTCTACCATTGGAATTGAGTTTCACGTAGTACTCCAGTTTGGCTTGCAGCTCTTCGCCTTCTCCAATTATGGTGTCCACATCGAAGCGCCTCAAGGAAGTATTGGTTTCCATGGCTTCGACAAACTGCTTCCAAAGTCGCTTGCTCTGGGAAGGCAATAGATCCCTCGACTGCTCTTCAGGTCCCAAAAAGTCAAATTTACGCAAGGTCGTGTTGGTACGTAGAGCCCTCGAAAGGGCATCCAAAAAGATGGCTATCTCTTCGGGTTCTTGCCCATCCAATACACTTTCATCACAGTCGTCCATGTTGAAACGCAACTCTTGAAGGGGCACGTTTTCTTCGAGGGCGGCAGATATAGACCTGGTAACGCTGGCGCTGAAGGCACCGTGACAGCAGACACTCATTTCAATCGTCTCAAACGTCTCTGTCATTCCACTTCGCGCTCTAGCCAAAATAGCACTGGCCGCCTCGTCGATACTGAAGTAGTCGAGGACCATGTTCTTGACCTTTGGGTTCTGCAAGAGTCGGGTCATGCTGGTAACATCCAAACGACCCAATGATTGCCACGATTTGGACCGGAGTCCAAAGTCTCTCAAATTGGGCAACTCGGCGAAATCATTCAATAGCTGGGCAAGGATCAGATTGGTGCGAGTTGCATTCGGATCATCCACGGGGATCACGTTGGCATTCGTATTGATTTCCTCCTCGTCGTCGTCAAGAGCAAACAGTTCCGGAAGCCTCAATTCCACAATGGAGACGTAATTGAGAGTCTTGCATTTCTTGAGGGCAACTCCGAGGTTCTTGAATTCGTCCAGAGTTCCCGTCACCCTGAGGTTACTGACGTAGAGTCTCTGGAGCTTGTGGGGAGCAAAGGACAAAACGTAGGCGATAAAAGAGGCAGGGATGTCCAAGTGGACCTGTCTGCTGTTGGTAGTCTCCCAGCACACTTCTACCAGATTGGGAAGAGTTGCAACCGCAATGAGCAACTTGCGGATACCAACATACGGCTGATCGTTCGAAGTCTGGAGAAGGCTGCTGTCAAAGTCGGTGGCTTGTTCTTCTCGTACCCAAAAGTTGACGGAATGGACTTGGAGGTTACCCAGCAGCTTGGACAAGAGCTCTTGATTCTCGTAGAAATCTGGCTCGAGATTCAAGCCTAAAGAACTGCGATTGGGCTCTTGACTAGTACCATTGAGGATCGCCAAGGCACCAGCAGCTCGATTTATGCTTGCTTCCTCTTCTGTGTCGATGTTTCCGTTGTTGCTATCGTTTCCATTGTTATCGTTGTTACCATTATTCCCGTGATTCTCATTTCCAAGGTCTTGGCTGCCATTCCTTTCACTGGAGACCGAGTCATCATAATCTTCGACTCGGTTTCCGAGCGGCAGGCCCAACAGCCCGCCGCCCAACCCACCACCGCGAGCAACGTTGGCGACAAGTGGAGCTCCGAGGTCAATCATACCATTCCTTGCCAAAAGCCCTATCACTCTTACCACTGCATCAACGTTCCGGTTGACATCATCCTGTCTTCCGCCCTCCATGGTCACTTCAAGATAATATGTAATAAGTGCTGTAAGGAGCTGCTGTGAGATAGAAAGATAGAAGGGAACTAACTGCGGTCTGTACGGTGCTGCTGAGTGGCTGAGTGGGCAAATATTGGGATCTGTTAGGAGGAGTCTTAAGAATCAGATTATTCTTAAGAATCAGGAAAAAATCTTGGGAAAATTATGATTCTTAAGAATAGAATACACAGTAGACAAGGAATCTTGGAAAAATAAGATTCTAAAGAATCATTTTACTGATTCTTAAGAATCATGGGCTGATTCTTAAGAATCATTAAATATTTTTTGCTGATTCTTAAGAATCATTGAATAATTTTTACTGATTCTTAAGAATTCTCTCCGAATTATGATGATTCTTAAGAATCCTCCATGCAAATATGCTGAATCTTGGGAATACTGGTAAAAATCAAGAAAGACTCCATTGCAATGGTTGTAACATCACTGCTACATCATTACAAGGCTGTTCGAATCAGCAAAGATTGTTGTTGGTTAGCAGATAGTATCAGGGGATAGCATTGCTAGCTATGAAGTGCATATTGCTATAGAATAGGCTGCATATTAGACAGCATACTGGGTGCCTGGTGATTCTTAAGAATCAGCAAAAAACCAAAACTGATTCTTGAGAATCCCCATTTTCCAGATTCCTCACACCAGATCGTTGCTACCGGTAGCACGGAAGTGTGTCCAACAGAGTGTGTTTTACTGCCGTAGCCAGCGGTAGCTACAGACTGGTAGCAGCATCCGCAAAGCTTCAGAGGCGTCACGTCAGCCAACACATGGCTTCCTCTTCAGTGAAAAGGCCGTTCGTCATCTGTCCTGAGCATGAGACAGATAAGTGCGTCTCTGTGAATGCAACAACGTGGTTGAGGTTTTGTGTTTTGTGTCTTTTGAGTATCGACGCATGAAATGTGTCAGATGCAGAAAGCTTAGTTATCACGGTACTCCAAGAAATAGTATCACCGACCACGTCATACTGTAGTATTTGATGGTTTGGTGGCAGTGATCTACTCAAGCATAACGAGAAGGCAGTGATCAGCTGATCCTGAAGGGAAAGTGGCTGACTTTGTTTGTTCACGAAACAAAGTCCGTACCGCTACATGGACAACCGCTGGTCTTGGGTTGGCTCACTATCGCCATGACTCTAAGCAGAGCAATGTGGAAGCACACTTGCTCCTGCCTGGACTGGTACGTCACCGTAGATAGAGTTAGGGTTTTCAGGGGATCAGTCAGTCGGTAGGAGCCAATCCAGAGCCACATTGCTAGCAGCCACCAATCGAAGAGGACAATGGTGTCCTTTTCTTTTCTTTTTTCTTTTCGAACGGCTACGGCTACTAGCTACGTTCAGCCATTGCTATGGCTACCACGGCTACTATCAGCCGGTCCAGCCATGCTGTTCCGGTCTCTGGAGCCTTGTTATTGGTTGAACGATCGATCTTTCCGGTCCTCACGATGACCGATCGATCCTTTCGTGTGCTTTTTCCACACGATGGTCGTGTTCCGTGTGTGCTTGCTTTTCCACACGATGGTCGTGTGCTTTTTCCACACGATGGCCCTGATGCGTTCACCACCTGGTGATTCGCTAGCCACAAACGGCGAGTCACCGACTGGTGCTCCCACCCAACCTCGGCCTTGTTCACCAACTGGTGCTTCTCTAGCCACTGCCATGAAGCGTTCACCACCTGGTGATCGCTAGCCCCAACGGAGAGTCACCAACTGGTGCTCCCACCCAACTCTCGACCGCTGTTGTCGCCATGCGTCCGACTCAGGGCCATGGTCGCGATTTTCTCTTTTCGAGATTTTCAACAACAACACCAGATCGGCCCTTAAGTCTTCGACTGATCGGCCCCTAAGTCTTGCTCTCTTGGCAAGTTCGGTGTCCCTTATGTCTTCGAACTGGTGACTGGGTCGTCATCCCCGCTTTAAAAATCCAGAATCCGACTGACGTCATTGATTTTGGTGACGTGTTTTCATCCGTGCTTTCGAAATATTTTAAGTCGATGCATGAAAAGTCCTTCGCGCGAAGACGATGCTTGAAAAGAACATGGGGGCCTCTAAGTCTCTGACTCTGCCCTCTAAGTCTCTTGCCCCCGCCCCTTAAGTCTTCCAACCACCGGTGACTTGGTGCGCCGCGAGACGTTTTGTCTGGTCACCGCCACTGACTGTCAGTGCTACCCAACACACTACCACTGACTGTTCAGTGCTACACCACCATTACCAAGCCACACCACCCTTGCATTGATATCCTGACAGCATGGTACCTGACCAGGCACCTGTGTCAGAGATTGAGGTTGACTCATTGCATTGGATCCCCAGTTCAAAAGCTACCTGGCTGGTAGCCCTTTTGGATTCTTGGATTGGGTTCAAGCCCTGTGCAATCCTACAGCAACAGTACAAGCCTGATCTACTGTGGTGGTGGCCCTGGTCCTCCCATTCCAGGCTATGCAGTGCAACACTATGAGGTCATAATCCCAATCCTGAAAGCCTTCCAACCAAGCCTTCCCTGATTTGGACCACTGCATCCTGCCTCTTGTTGCCTTCCAGTTGCCTGTCTCCCAGTTGTTGCTTCCCTTCCAGTTGCTGTCCTGCTGTTGTGAGTCCTTGCTTTGTCCAGCTCCAGCCCCAGTTCTGTTTGCCTGGTGCTTTTGCTGTTGGTCCTGCCTTTATCCAGTTCCTTGACTGTTGTTGCCGCTCCCAAAGCATTGTTGCCGACAGTTTCATTGATTCATTGAATGTCCAGACCAACGACACTTCAACACTCCTTCCAGCACCATCCGCCAGCCATGTCTGCTGACCTCCTAGTTCGTGGCAAGGCCCACGAGATCAAGTCCTCTCCAAGGCTATCTTGGAGTTGACTGATGAATCCACCCGCCAGTTTGTTACCACCAAGCTCAGGACCTGTTTGATCCCATGGGTTCAGCGGTCAGAGCCTTGATGCGGCACGGCTCAACCAGTCGTTTTCCCTCCAGTCGGGGTGTATCATCGACGGCAAAGTCCAGCCCTTGACTGCACCACTTTGGCAGAGAAGGACAAATGTCGTCTCTGTTATTGCCAGTATCAGTGACACCATCGGGAGAGTATTCCGTTCGTTCCCCATGATGCATTTACTAACTGTGTGTTAGTGTGTCTCCGCTGGCTTGTGCATCGTCCTCAAGTGCCAGGGTGTCCAGTGCTGCAACGGAGACTCTGTTGGATAGCTGCTCACACTTTGTA